GAAAGCTCTGCCCAGCGGAGCTTTTTCTGTTTTGGGGGGAGGTATATATAAAAAACAGATGTATATATAAAAACTGTATATGTGTTTGTAATCTTTATTTGAAAAAAGAGAGACAAAAGGAAGGAAAAGGTGGGGAGGGAGGGAGGGAGGGAGGGAGCAGGAGGGAGCCACCCAGTGGCGTGATTTGGGTAAAGCAACATTCTGACAAGTAGCACTTTTTTCTAGAGCCTTTAATGACACACCCTGGACACACAGATGCTTAAAGCAGTTTTCTTTTGTTTTTCAACATGGATTGTATTGAACTATATGCTGTCAGCTTACTTTTTTGTTTTTGTTTGGTGTGAAGGATGTAAGAACATGTACAGAGGTATGTTCTCAGAGCAGAAACCTTTAGCTTCTATGGCTGTGAAGTGAAATCACTCACGTTACTAGATAATTACAATGCAGGAAATAGGTTATGGCAAAAAGGAAAGTGAAATAAAAACTTTGCTCCAACTGTTGACAAATCTTTTTTTAATTTTAATCATCATTTTGTTGGGGCCACTTACAGCTCTAATAACAATCCACACATCAATTATATCAAGCACATTTGTCCTTATGTTGCCATTATCATATCCAAAACATTTTCTTTCCACTTCAGCCCTTGGTATCAGCTCTGCTTTTTTCACCTCCCTCCCCCTCCTCTCCCACCCTCATGAATCCTTGATAATTTATTTTTTTGTTCATATTTTACATCGTCTGCTGTCTCCCTTCATCCACATTTCTGTTGTTCATCCCCCTTGGCAGGGGGAGTGGGGTTATATGTTGATCATTATGATCGGTTCCCGGTTTCCTCCTCTTTTCTCCTTACCTTCCCCCTACCCTCATGGTATCATTACTCTCGTTGTTTCTGAGGGGTTTATCTGTCCTGGATTCCATGTGTTGAGAGCCCTTATCTGTAGCAGTGTACATATTCTGGTCTAGCCCGATTTGTAAGGTAGACCCGGGGTCATGATGGTGGGTGGGGGGGAAGCATTAAAGAACTAGAAGAATGTTGTGTTTCATCACTGCTATACTGTACCCTGGTTGGCTCATTCCTTCCTTGTGACACTTCTGTGGGGGGATGTCCAATTGTCTGCAGATGGGCTTTGGGTCTCCATTCCGACCCCAACTGTTGACAATTCTGTATGATTCTTTTTATGTTTCAGATTTTCATTTTCCATGGTTGTTGATTATTATCTTTGTGATATTTGGGCTAACAGTGATGGTATTTGTATTCATATTTTCTGAACAACAAAGGTAAGTGTAAAATCTTCTTTACCATTTTTTCTTTTTTGCCCATTATGTTGTTAGATATCAATATATATATTCATTTACTTTTTTTCACTTGTACCATATATACTCGAGTACAGGTCGACCTGAATATCAGCTGAGGCACCAAATTTTACCACAACAACTGCATTAAAAATGTGCTGAAAAACTCAGCTTATACACGAGTCTATATGGTAATTCATAAGTGAAATTTTTTATTAAGCCCTGTAAAAGTGTATCTGTAGCTATATATTTGTGATTTATATAAAACTCAATCTGTCCCCTTCATCAGGCAGCATGGAGAGGTTTCTAGTGGTGGTTCAGTGATAGATAAAATTCTTACCTCCTGTACAGGAGACACAGGTTCCAGACTCTTAGCCAGTGCACTTCAAGCACAGTCGTCACTTGTCTGTCAGTGGAGGATCTCATGTTGCTGTTATGGTGAACAGGTGTCTGGACAGAACTTCCAGACTAAAAGAGATGAGGAAGAAAGGCCTGTTAATTCATTGTTTAAAATTAGTGAGTGAAAACCATATGGATCACAAGAGTTAAACTCCATTGTGCATGGAGTTTCCAGGACGTGGGGGATAATTCCACAGCAGCTAACAGTTCCACTAATAGACTTGATCAGTGAAGTTGTAGCAAACATTTAAAAAGCTGATGCCTACAAGCTGTCTGAACAAGGTGACCTGTTCCTTCCAGGACCACCTGTGATCACTGGACCTAACAAAGTTTGATATAATCCTAATACACAGGGTATAAAACTAAAGCACTTACCTACTTGAGACCTATAGACTTCAAGGTCTACCACCCTATATGAAGTCACCATAGTGCCTAGAAAATGACCTAACATGTGCCTAAATGCATCATTCTCTTCAAAGGAGGAGTCACACTAAATCATGTCAGTCATTACTCATTTGAGAGTCTTTGTTTCCTGTGATTAAAGTTGTGTTACATTTGTATATGTTTTTGAACACTTGAAATATATAAACTCTTCACTTATTATTTTTTATTTGACATTTCCCATTTACAGTAGTAAAAATATCTCCAAATATTTTGTATATTAACGTTCATTTGGCAATAAAAAACAGCAAGGTATAAAGTAAGCATAACATTGACTGCTGGTAAAAGTTGTGTGTGAACTTGGCTGAACCATGATGGTCAAGGTTTGGCAGTTATGTAATAATTTGACAGTTATGTAATGATAGCGTCATCTTCCATTTTACAATCTAAGTGATCGTCCTCCATTTTTGCCTAATATGATTTTTATGTAATATCCTGGTCCTTTGAACTTAACCATGTCAATAAGTGTTCATCTAGAGATTAAGAACCAGATAACACAGCAGCATGATGGAGGGCAGAGAGCCTGAGTTTGGGAGTCAGATGCTCTGGGTTGAGTCCCAGCTATGCCAAGTATTAGTGCATTGGGGGGATGCATTCCTTAAATCTTAAAATCTTTATATATCTGTTTTGAGGATAATACCATCTACCTACCTGGTAGTTGTAATGATTAAATGAAATCTTTAATACTGGGTGATAAAGTTTCAGGAAAGGGTCAGACAGAAAATATTTTTGGAGTCCCTGAATAGTATTAACTGTTAATGAGCTAAGTTTCTAACCACGACGTTGGCAATTGATGTTCATCCAAAGACTCCTCAGACGAAAAGCCTGGCAATACACTACTTGTCAAAAATAAGCTAATGAAAGCCCTTTGGAAGACAGTTCCACTCTGACACTCATAGACTCACCAGCAGTCAGAATTCCTGGCAACTGATTTACTGCTTCCTGAATCTATTGACAACTATTCAATTCTGCCACTGTGGCATCAATGCAGCCTTAGATAATGTGCAAACAAATCTTTTCATAAAACCGTATGCCCAAAATTAAGTAGTGAGCCAGATTTATCCCACAATCATAATTGAGTACAACATACATCTCACAGTGTCTGATGGACTTGAACCACTGACCTTGCTGTAAACTGACCAACATTTAACCCACTGAAACATAGGGCTCCATTTTAAAGTAGTAGAAATCATTAAGATTAATTTCTATTACTTAGTTCTATATGGTCCATGCAAGAACCTCCATAAAAACTACTCAATGCAACATATAAAAGAGATTTGGGGCTTATTTCTTAGATTGGTGAAAAAGTCCAGTGGAAATAGAGAATTAATGAATCCTCTATTGCATACACTACAGTGCCCATGCACATTGATTGAACTATCTCCTAATAACCAAAATCAGACAGCCATCCCTGACAAACAGTGGCATCTCTGAGTATGTAAGGTTCCAGTGCTTGTCTTTAACAAGAAAGTGAGTTGGTAGGACTGGTAACCTGTAATTGCTAAGCTTTTTCCGGAGTCACATTGTTAATAGGACAAACTCCAGTTATACTTTTAACAAAATAGATAGATGGTGTATCTAAATATATTTGATCAATGTTTACTCTACCACTTTTATGTGCCAGAAATTAGTAGTAAGTGCTAGGGCTACATACAACATAGGGAGGATATACTTGTGATGAATTATGATTAAAATTCAATTGTTTGGTACAGAAACTTAAGTGTGTCATAGAATTGTATATAAACTCATACTGGTTAATTAGAGATAGTTAAAATTTGTCTGTCCTATGAGTTGGAATTAACTCGATGGCAGTGGGTATCGGAAATGAACCCTGCGGTGGTGACCTCGCTAATGAGGTAATCCTAGATACTAATTTTTTTTTCTCCAATTGCTACCATCAAGTTGCTCCTGGGCAGAACTACTCCCATGGGTTTGCACAGCTATCTATAACTCTTTACAGGAGCAGAAAGCCTCGTCTTTCTCTCACGGAGTGTCTGGTGGTTTTGAATGGCGATCATGTGGTTAGCAGTCCAATCTCTCGAGGCATTGTAGTGACCTTAGGACACACTGGTAGATCCTGACGTCTTTTGGGCTACGCAGGCTGTTGGTTTAGTTTGCTACTTACACAACCCTTTCCAGTTTGCCATTTTTGTGGGTGCAAATAATTTTAGTTCCAAGCACATTCGATTTTTTTCCTTCTCCCTTTCTTTTTTATCCCCCCCTTTTTTCCCTTTCCTCTGCAAATTACTGGTGATATGTACATTAAAACTGCCTGCCTTATAACTGAAATGAGAATTGGCTTAAGATTTAAATTTCTTTTAAAAAAAAAGATTTAAATTTCTCACTCCCAAATATTAACATTGGCTGCCAATAAAAGGCACTAAAGGGGCAGAGGGAGATGGGGAAACAGGACAGGAAAACCAAGTTTTATTTAAATTGACTCCAGATGAAGGCGTGTTCATTGTTGTCTTTTGTTCTTTATTATTTTCATTATTATTAAGCAAGTTTTCCTACAATTTGCTATTGGTTTAATTTCCTTTTCTTTCTCATATTTCACTTATATGAGTGGCTTTCAAAACTTTGTGGGGAAAAAATCCATTATCTTTTAATTCTATGTTTCCACACACTTTTTGAAGCCCTCCTACCCTTCCCAATCCTCATCACTAAAGTACCAGAATGTTTAGAAAAAGTAATGTGCTGCCAGGATGCTTATTTCTATCTTTTGAAATAATAGACTGTGTAAAACTTTGAAGGTATGTCCAACCAAAATTATTTTTGTTTTCAAGGATTAAGATGCTAATTCTGCCCCCAGTTCCAGTTCCAAAGATTAAAGGAATTGATCCAGCTCTTCTCAAGGTAATTAATAAACATATCTAAATTGTGCATTAAAAAAAACATAGCCACCAAGTCAATCCTAACTCACTGAAGCCCTACATAAATCTTTACAGGGGCAAACAGCCTCATCTTTGTCTCAAGGATTGGCTGGTGGGTTTGAAAAGCCAACCTTTCCAGTAAAAGTTCAGTGCTTACCCTCATCAGCACTACTTAAATAATACTGAAGAATAGTGTCTATGTTGAAAGCTTCAGCAAGCTATATGTACCACAATTGATTACTTTTACATCCTTTCTCATTGAGGAAATAATTTTAAATATTGCATCTTTTAAAATTGTGATACAATTCATCTGTACTATTATATTTTTGTTATCATGTGTTGTTTTATTGTAACCATACTTTGCCTCTGAATGTTACTTGTTAAACTGGGTAATCATCATGGGTTGTTTTTGATAGACTCTCATTTGCTTTCTGCTTCCCAGGCAGGAAAACTGGAAGAAGTGAATACAATCTTAGCCATTCATGACAGCTACAAACCTGAATTCAACAATGATGACTCCTGGGTTGAATTTATTGAGCTAGACATTGATGACCCTGATGAAAAGACTGAAGGATCAGACACAGACAGGCTTCTAACCATTGACCTGCAAAAATCACTTAACCTCCTTGGGGCAAAGGATGATGATTCTGGACGTACCAGTTGTTGTGAACCTGACATTCTTGACACTGAGTTTAATGCCAGTGACATGTGTGATGGTACCTCAGAAGTGGCTCAGACACAAAGGTTGAAAGGGGAAGTAGATCTCTTGTGCCTTGACCAGAAGAATCAAATTAGCTTACTGTCTCTAGACACTGCCTCTGCTACACAGCAGCCTAGTGCCACCTTAGTAGATGAAAGTAAACCAAGTCCACTTCTTGGTGGATCTGAGTCAGCTCCTCAAGCGTCCCATTCTCAGCTAAGTAATCTGAGTTCACTGGCAAACATCGACTTTTATGCACAGGTAAGCGAGATTACACCAGCAGGGAGTGTGGTCCTTTCTCCGGGCCAAAAACTTAAAGCAGGGATGTCCCAGTGTGACATGCATCCTGAAGTGGTCTCACCTGGCCAAGCCAACTTCATCATGGACAACGCCTACTTCTGTGAGGCAGATGCCAAAAAGTGCATTGCCATGGCCCCTCATGTCCAGGTGGAGTCGCATGGGGAGCCGAGCTTTAACCAGGAAGACAGTTACATCACCACAGAAAGCCTTACCACTACTGCTGTGAGGTCTGGGCCAGCAGAAGGAGCCCCGAGCTCCGAGATGCCTGTCCCAGACTATACCTCCATCCATATAGTCCAGTCTCCACAGGGCCTAGTCCTCAACGCAACTGCCTTGCCCTTGCCTGACAAAGAGTTTTTCACATCTTGTGGCTATGTGAGCACAGACCAACTGAACAAAATCATGCCGTAGCCTTTCTTTGAGGCCCACAAGCTTCCTATTTAATGGAGCATGTATGCTTAAACCAAAACAATGTTTTAACCTTTTGTGGGGGGCATGTGGTGAAGGGATGTGGATTCTAAATGCCTTTTCCTGAAATGGTGAAACGTGATATTAAAAAAAAAAAAAGGGATGTTTAATCAGACAGATATTCCTGGTAACTGTAAATATTTGAAAGAAGTGTCTCAAAGATTGTTTAGTGGTGGTGATTGTCTTGTCATTGTGGGTGTTAATTTTGTGATACTAAGCATTGAACGCCTGTATTTTTAATGAATAGTAAATAGATCCAGCTTTTTGAAAAAGCAAATAATCAGGTGTCTTTTGAAGTTCAGGAAAATGGAATACAAATTATAATTCAGTCCAATTTTTTTAAAATATATCATTGGAAACTATAATTATAGATAAGAAGGCAAAAATAGTTTGGATACATAAAACATTTATTTTGACATGAAATTGATAAAGATATTTTTAATAATTTAAACTTCAAGCATGGCTATTTTGTATTACACTAACATTGCACTGTAGTTTATGACGGCTTCCCTAAAGACTGCCATAACTACAGCCTAAGGCTGGTTTAATGCTTTGGTCAATGCACCTAAAGAAAAACAAACAAGGTGGGTTTTTAAAGCCCCTCTTGATACCTCCCAAAACTCCTTAAAGAATTCTATGGTAAAACAGTAACCTGTATTATTGAAACAAACTCTTATGATATTTTAAACAAAAAAATCACTAATTTATAAACCTTTAAAATCTTTGTACAGGTTGACTTACCATGAACCAAACACACACAAACACACACACACACACCCCAAACAAACTTTTTTTCACCAAATTTTAATTCATAGCGTGTTAAGATGTGTAGAAATTCTAGCCGATTCCTGAGAGGGTAAATCAAAAAGTATTGCTACAAAATCATAGAAGCCTTTGTTTTATAAAATGTGAAGCTGTGTTTATAGGCATCTAAGTTTACACACTTCTGAAGGTACTGTTTGTATTTTCGATCCCGTCACCAAAGAACTTCACACTTTTGGATTTACACCGTATCAAAACAGCCACTTTGGCATCCTCAAAGGAGTAAAATGAGCTCCTTTGAAATCTTCTTTGAGTTTGGGGAGCAAAAAGGAGTCAGAAGGGGCAGTATCAGCAGAATAGATGGGGTCAAAGACTCCTAATGAAATTCTTCTAAGACAGCCCTTGCTACCTTGGAAGGATGAGCAAGTGCACTGTCAGTGACAGAAAAAAAAACACCTCAGCACAAATTTCCCAGCCTTTTTCTCATCGTAGATTTCCGGTTTGTTAAAACTTCTTCCTAAGCTTGTCTTATGCCCTTTGAGAACATCTACTAAGAGTACCCTTTTGGAATCCCTAAAAGCAGTCACCACTACCTTCTGAGCAGATCTCACTGCCTTGAATATAACTTGACAGAAGACCCCCTCAGAAGTCAAAGTTTTTTAAGGTTCCCTAAAGAGACTCAGACAAGTGTATTACTGAGAGAATGTGTCTACAGCCCTCCACTGAGCTTAGAGATAGGCTTAGGCACATTTTGTTTGGAATAAGCCCATGCATGCATGAGCTAGAACCCTAGTAGCAATACTTTTTCACTTCTCCTCATGTTTACCAGGACACTTAAGGACTGCAGGTAAACATGGAGTGAGTTTAGTGCGTGTGGCTCCTGAGGTAAGCCCTGACATGTGTGCACCTGTGTCTCCTCAAGCACAGCATGGCTTCATGTCATCATTTCCTTAAAGGAGAATAAGGTATACGAAGCATTTTGTAAGTTGGAACAGGTTAATAAGAAGCTAACCAGATAATGGAACAAAAATTCTAGGGATACGTTTTTGTTTCTCAGCCTTTCGTCTGATTCCATGATACTGAGGGAAGAGGAGAAGCCAAGTTCTAAACACCCACCAAACCAAAACCAATCTCACTGCCATCGAGTCAATGCTGACTCACAGTATCCATATAGGACTGGGTAGAACTGCCCCTGTGGGTTTCTGAAACTGAAACTCTTTATAAGAGTAGAAAGCCTCATCTTTCTACTGCTAAAACCCCACAGATAATCAAAATTTACTTGTCAATAGCAGAAACCTTCTTTCTCCCCAAACCTCCAACTAGAATTTATTTAAAGCAGTCAAAGTCCTTGTACCATTCGTGTTTCCCTTCCGAGAGTATTGACCTCGAACTGCAGGTGAGCAGAAGAAAAGGAAGGGGACTGAGTCATTCATCAATGTACCTCTTGATCCCTTAATAACCAAAATAGCAATTAAGTACATCAGAATAGTTCTCCATAATAGCCCCTCAAACAGGGAAGATTCTTATCTCACTGGAGGATGCTTCTCATTTTAAGATTTTGTTGTTGTTTTTAAAGGATAATACTTCAGTAAGCTTTAACATAAGTCAAATAGTATTTGCCATTTAGCGCAGACCTTTTTAGGAAGCAAGCTTAATGGCTGGTTGTTTAAAATTCCTTCTTTCTTGCTGGAAGGATAGTGAAAAGCTAGCATTGTGTGTTTAAAGATCCACACGTTGCTCTGCACTAGCTGTTTAATAGACTTCCCGCTACCTTGCTGCTATGGTTTTCTCCAAGAGCGACATCATTTCGTTTCATATAAAATTCCGTCAGTGTAAAATTTAATTCAATTCAAAGCTCTGTGTTTGGAAGAACTATCTGACTATTTCACAGTAGGCTGACAACATTTCTATAGCCAAAAATAGCTAAATACCTCAATCAGTCTCAGAATGTCATTTTGGTACTTTGCTGGCCACACAAGCCATTATTCACTAGTGTGACTAGTTGTGTCCTACAGATTATATTTAACTTTCTTTTTGTCTGTGGATTTTTTTTCCTTCAAAGTTTAATAAATTTATTTTCTTGGATCCCTGATGGCCTGTTTATATTGTCAACCCCCTACATGAGAAGCCTTGTAAATCAGCCTATGTACTGTGAGTTCTTATTGTTGTGAAGGGAGTGTGAAAAATGTTCTAGGGCCCTGAGTTCCTCTAGCTACATGAAGGGGGAGAATCCATCTCCACACAGGCCCCATGCTACTTGCCATAACACAGAGGTCAGACACACCTCCACCCTACATCCTTCTCTTACCCTATCCTGACACGAGCTGTTCCTCCCAGGACACTCTACTTAACATGCTGGGTTTGAGAATCCATTGCAATGGCCACACAGGACTCACAAACAGTGCTCACTTCAAACTGCAGGTAAACAGAAGGAAGAGAGGTTATTAGGGAAGTTAACAGACTACCACAAATTAGGATCGCGGAACAGTAGAGACACAATCATTGCTCTACAATAGCTCCTCTCTTCAGCCAGCAGCCACTTCTTTCTCTCTGAGCCGTCTCTGTGTGGTATGGCCTCTATTGCTTCTGCCAGTTCATGGAAGGAAGAATCCCAAACATGCTCCATTATTGGTTCTTTTTCCTTGATGATACCAGAATGGCTCTCTTCCCGTTTCTGGATTAGCTGTCTTTTATGGAAGTATAGATGTTGTCTTTTGATCAACCATACCGAAGGAAACAAGGGGTGGTGACTTGGCTCACACCCTCTAATAAGCTGGAGACTCATTTTCATCCCAATTCAATCCTGTTCATTAGCAGAACAGAGAGTGGCAAGAGGGAAAGCGGAGCCTCCTCTACTTTCACATGATAGTTTCTCATGTTAGGTACTTTTGGGAAGATCAATCAAACCAAACCACTTACTATCAAGTTCAATTCCAATTTACAAAGACCCTGTGTATTTCATAGTTGAATCGCACTCACTGTAGGGTTTCCAATGACTGTGATCTTTCAGAAGGAGATCAGCAGGCTTCCTTTGTGGCACTTTTGGGTGTATTTAAGCCATTAACTTTTATTTAATTACCAGGTCTTTAACCACTTGTACCATCAAGAAGTCCTGTTATTGTGAGCAGCACAAAATAAGTCAAGGCTGTAGGGAGCTTGAGAAAGCAGGAAAGCTATGAGAAATGGATTCCTACCACAGCAAGCTAGTTCTGGGCTGGAAAAAAAGTACTATTAGGTCAATTCTGAGTCATAATGATAGATTTGAATTGTCTTTTGGATTTCTTTGGGTTACTGAGACTGCAAAACTTCAGGGGAGCAGTAAGCCTCATTCTTCTCCCATGGAGAAGTTGGTGTCTAAGAACCGCTGACCTTGTGGTTGGTTAGCAGCCCAATGCATAGGCCACTGCACCACCAGGATTCCTTAGCTCTAGAAAAGGTAGCTGCTATAGATATAGTCTTTTGTGCCAACCCCAGCTATGATATTGATAAGCCAACTTAATTACTACAGCAGCTTTTTTTTTCAATGCTGGAGGGTTTGTACTAAATACAAAAAGAAATGAGACTTCCAGGAAGATGGCACAATGTAGGATCGCCCTCATGAAGAGCTCGCTGTGTGATTGCCAGGTTTATGGGTGAGGAGGCCGAATTGGGGAACTCGGCAGAGAAACCACGTTTTTCGCAGCACCCAGTTCTTTCATCAGTTTTACCGTGGAGAGCGCAGCTGTAGTCATCACCCGTGCATCTCCTTTGTCAGTGGGGTGACAACTCCTAACCTCTTCCCTCCAACCCCCACCCCCTGCTCACCAATATGGGGAGGTGGCCCAGGGCAGTCTATCCCTCGGGACATCCCACGGAAACCTGCTCGAACTCCTGGAGGTCCTAAGCACTAGAACACATGGCGGCCTGTTGAGTAGAGTATCCATTAGAGGTCATCCTACCTGAGGCCCAGCTTCCTCCCCTGGTGACAGGGGTGAGACTGGGATCTGCAGATACAGATAAACCCAGCTAGTTGCAGAGGGATCCAGCACAGGAAGGAGGAGGCAAGGCAGGCACCCAAAGCACCGGCGGCTCCAGGAGGTGGTTAGATTTGTTGCTTTTTTTTGTTTGGTTTTTTGTTTGTTTGTTTGTTTTTTCTGAGAAAGGAAACACAAAAGTCCTCATTCCACCAAAGGAAATGGAACCTGGCATTTCTGGGTTTCTCGGCAGCTTTCCCAATGCTGACTAAGTAGCCTAGCGAACTGTGGCCCATGATCGCCCCCTGATCAGAAAGTCCCCTCTTACCTGGGGCATCCACTACAGCACACTATTTCCACCATAGTACCACACATAAAGACTGGATAGTTCTGAGGTGTGCAGTAATCCACTGTTATAAGCACAATAATGGAAGGACTGTATTCTCCCTATGCAATATACAGGGTTCACAAGGGATTCTGGTTGATTCAATAGGCCCCTCCCTTCCCCAACCACTTCTGGAACCTGTTCCCGCCACCTCAGTAACTCACACTCGTCTTTACCTTACCAAATAAAATCACATCTCCCCAAACCCCCAACTCATTAAAATTACATAATGGAAAGGCTTCCTGTGATTAATACCACCACTTAAAGCCTACTCCCAAGATAATCTAATCCCCCTACTGACCCAACTAACACTCCCTCCTCATCTATACACAATACATTTTCCAGCACCTATTTGAT